TTTTAGCAGTGCAATAAACACATCCTATACTACAAAAATCTAGGGTTTGATCGAAATCCTATACTATGTTTCAATTTCACATATGATTCAAAAAGTTTAACAATTACATTTTTGTAAATATTAAAAATTGATTATTTTAACATACTTGCGAATACGAAATTTAAATTAATTATAGGTATGTAATTAGATTAACCCTTACGTTATTTGATTCATTTATTCAGGGGTGGAAATATCGGTTTGGTTTAACTGAACAGAACTGTACCAAACCAAACTGAAACTGGACCATATGTAATTTGGTCTGTGTTTGATAATATTTCTTTCAACCCGTTTTAAATCGAGTCGTACCAAAACCGATGAAAACCAAACAAAACCAAACTGGACTACAAGAATCAACAAGACCTTCATTTATTATTAAAAATCACAGATTCAAACCGAACTGAACTAAATCGAATCTAACCAAACCGAACCGAAAACAAAAAAAAAAAATATCTGAAAACCGATATGTCCACCCCTGCAATTATTTATTAACATAATTTTGAGCAAATGACAAACTCCGTGTGATTCTAATTTATTGCTAACAAAGTGAAATTTATTTGTTATCATTTTTTAAAGTATGATATCATAATGTTTTTTCTTGTAAAAACTTTGTTATTTATCATTGACTTTATAATTTGTTTTAAAGTTCTCAGTCCATGACATGCATGACATAATATATATATATATATATACAATTTCAATTCACTCTCCTCACGCATGCATGTTTCTGGAGGCACTAGTGCCCATTCGCCATCAATTTCCCATTTTTGTGTGTAGTCACTCGTATATTTTCTGCTATACGGTAACGTTATGTGAAGTGACAAAACCAAAACTAGAACTCGACAATAAACTTAGGTCAAAACAACAAAAGGGAAGGAATTATATGTACTTGCATGCCAAAAGTAGCAACCGGTTGTACTTACGTATGCCTCAGCTCTTTCCGAATAAAAAGTTAAGAGGAGAATTTCAAAACAATACTTTTGTGTTCAGAAAAGTATCAATGATCACAAAGGGGAGTATCCAAGGGGGGCAGGGGACAGTATACATGTATACTTTATATGTTCCCCTAAAGGTTTCTCACACTTTCTTTATTTGGGTATCCCATTTAAAGGCTCTCACTTCATTTTAGAAAATAATTTACTCTATTTAATACTCCGTAATATATTTACTCAAATTTCTTTTCCCTACTCATTATATATCTAAGTCTCACAATTTCCCCTCTCTCAACTTATCCCCCTTTAATTAATTTCACTTTATACGTTTACTCTTTTTAAATTTTCTTTTTTGTTTCCCCTCTTTTTTTACCCATATTACTTTATTTAACCACTTTCCTAAAAAAATTGTGTCGTTTACTTACGAGAACCTTCCAACATGACAGAGAGAGTATCAAATATAAAACTATACATATAGATAAGTATAAGAAATACTCCCTCTGTCACAATGAAAGTCACAGTTTGACTTTTTGAGTCAAACTTGTAAAACTTTGATATACTCAATTAGTTTTGAACCTTAATTGAGTTTACGGCAGGTACGTAGGCTTTTTTGACCTTTTAATTAAATCTGAATAAAAGATTAATTTATGTTTTTTAAACCTCGTATGGTAGAAACGGATTCAAATATACTTAATATTAGTGCATTCAACTATCAAATTTTGTATAAATATTACACCCATATAAAAATTCAAATACGAATCAGAATATAAAATATTTTGATTCCAAATTAGTGCATTCAACTATCAAATATTTTCTTTAAATATTACACACGTGTAGAAATTCATACATTTTTAGTACATAACTAAACTGAAACACAGAATTTTAATTTTAATTTGAGGTTTAGTTTTTTTTGAAAGTACATTTGAGGTGTAGTTATAAACAATTATTGCATGTACTTAAAGAGTGTTTTATAATATGCAAAATAGCGTAAACAATAAAAATAATAGTAGAGTGCAAATTACAGTTTCAAACGAGCTTGTCTTGGGCTATATTGTAGCTCGCTAGATTCATTTCATTTTCATTTACCCCGTGCCGCAAAGGCTCCCACCTACAGTGGGGTAAGGGGGGTTTGGATGTACACAGTCCAAAATTGCATGGACTGACGGTTGCTTCATAACAAAGAATAATGAGCCATTTTGCTTTATTCCATCATATTCTCAAGCCAAAAAATAATGAACTTTGACTCCATTGCAAATGATGGAAAAATTGTAGCTCGCTAGATAAAATAGATAAATGTAACTTATAAACCTCGTATAGTAGAAACTCATTCAAATCTACTTAGGACTACATATTTATATTTATATTTATATTTATATATCCTCTCCTTATGAGATCACATTCTCATTTGATCTAAATTATATTTGTATATATACGACATGACTTTAAGTTAAATATAATCACTTTTGTATGATAAACGTATGAAAAGTGAAAAAAAAAAAATACTTTCTCCGTATTAGTTTCCTAAACTTTCCTTTTTTGAATTATTAAAAAGTTTGCTAGCTACACTTTTGTGTTTTTTAAAAGTTTTTCATTTAAAAACACTCAATTACTCATATTTATTTACTATTTATTTTTTACATACTTTTCCGCCATCTCAATCAATTATTATACACTATTCATTACTCCTATTATTTCATCTTAAATAAAGTATCTAACACTATTGTAGAGATCTTTTATACACAGGGGAGTATTGCGTATATAGTTTTGTAGGCCATGAATAATTTTCCCTCTTTAAGATCGGCCCTAACAAAATTCACAAATAATACTATGTAGGGAGTAGCAACGTTTGAAGATGAGGCACATATTCGGGGAAAGTGAAATAAAACATAGACTAGCTAGAGATTGTACAAAGTATTACACAAAAATAGGTATTGCCCAAATCTGAACAATGAAAAAACTGATAGTTTACATACGGTCGTACTAGAAAGGGACCGGTCTTTGTCTCCTAGTTCACATACGTTGGGAGTACAACAAAAGGCTGCTATCAATTTGTTGAACATATGGAGTTAAGTTGACTCTGTTTCAGGTTTGCCATCGATTTTTCATGCTTTCCCACCAACGTTTTCGTCTTTAGGTTTAGTCACCCGTACATATATTTTGTGTTATACGGCAACGGTATGTGAAGTGACATAATCACATAACCAAAATTAAAATAAACTTTCCTAAAAAAAACTAAAATAAACTTAGGTCAAAATAACAATACGGAAGGAAATATGCGTACGTACCATGAACATATCAAAGTAGCGGCCGACTGTACGTATGTAAGCCTCAGCTCACGTATATTGACTTGAATTTCATGTAACATTTTTTAATTTCATTAATAAGATGTATTTTGAATTAAAACAAAAGGGAAAACTGTCAAATAGGTCCTCGAACTTTCATAAAAATGTCAATTAAGTCCTTCTATAGGAGGTTCTGTCCGGCCGTCGCAATTTAGGGTAGTTCGGATGAAATTTTTTGAGCATCTTATTCACCAAGTCTAGTTTACTCATACCAAACTTCAACTATAAATTCATTCGGGAACACATTCAAATTAATTCTTGAAGATAATTGCGCATTTTTGCGTTCTCGAATTAATTTGAATGCGCTCCCGATTAAATTTTTAGATTAAATTTGGTATGAGTAAACTAGACTTGATGAATAAGATGCTCAAAAAATTTCATCAAAAAATTCCACCGGGAACCGCCCCAAATCGCGATGACCGGACCGAGTCTCCTATAGAAGGACTTAATTGACTTTTTTATAAAAGTTCGAGGACCTATTTGACAGTTTTCCCAAAATAAAATTATAATTCAACCGATTCAATCAATTCAGTCATTTCTGTCAGAAATTCATAAATTTCAGCAGATTCAACCGATTCAATCAATTTGAATGTTACCCGATGGGGTCTATAACACAAACTAATCAAATTCTCTTTTACTGCGTATCTTTTATTTCTTATCAATATTTTGACAAACTTCAAAATTACAATTTAAACACTATTATAATGTTGACATAAATAATCATACTTTTACGCATTCTACATTTCTACATAAATAATCCATCTAGAATTGTTCACCATAATAATCCGAATTCGTTTAAGCATTCACAATATTATATATAAGCATTCACAATATTATTTTTGTCCTTAAACTTATTTCTATTTTGAATTAAATTTATACACATTTTTCCCTAATATATTACTTATATTAAGAGTTCGTTTGATAACCCATATTTTAAGCTTATCAGTCAACTTTTTTAACCAAATACATAGTTTTTGAAGTTACTTTTCTAGTCGAATTGGCTGAAATTATTGTAGAAGACAATTTTGGCTATTTTCATGTATTTTTTCTTAATTTCATTAAAATATATTTTGAATAAAAAAATATAATTCAACCGATTCAGTCAATTCAGTCACTTCTGCCAGAAATTCATAAATTTCGGCAGATTTAGCCGATTAAACCAATTCGAGTGTTACCACACAGGCGCTAAAACACAAACTCATCAAATTCTCTATCTTTTATTTCGTATTAATATTTTGACAAACTTCAAAATTAAAATTTAAACATTATATATACTATGCATAACATATACTCCGTCTATATCAGTTTATTTGTCTCAGTTTTTTTGGGACATGTCAAGTTATTTGTTCCATTTCCCTCTTTACAAATAAAACAAACAACCCTTTTGTAAGTTTATAATACTATGTATGTTTCATCATCATCATCATCATCTTCCTTTTACACAAGTTTTATATTTTATCCCCAGATTTTGTATGTTATACTAAACTACTTTTCAGGTCAGGGCATTCATTTCTCTCGATTTTGGGGATAACAGAAAAGACTATATAGAGGACCTTAATACTTACTGGAGGGCATGTGAGTGGATCTTTTTCATGTTGTTTAAATATGTTTAGAGTTGTCAATAGAAAGTATTAGTGAAACATATGCCTATGCATATGCTGATCATATTCTGAACACATTGATGTCTTACCTTAATTTCACAGTTGAACCACAACGCATTGAAAGTTTACAACTCATTCTGTGTGCAAATGGACCTGAAAACAATATTCAGAATAATCAATACCTTTGTAAGTGCTCAAACAAGAGAACAGATACATCTCTTCTCTCAATTTAAGTCATCTTTCTCTATGGATGGTGAACAAAGTAATTTAATTTTTCCATTCCTAGCCATAGATTTTGGAACAACCAAATAAGATAAAACATAATGATCCTTTATACCTTGTTTGCATGGAAATTTTTAAATCAAAAGCCTTTTGTTGGATAACATTCACTTAACTTTTCCCATCATTAGCAATCTTATCTATGCATGTTTGTTATTTTTATTCATACAACAACATCCAAGCCTTGTTCCCAAAAGATTTTAGGGTCGGCTAACATGATATCAGAACCAAAAAGAAAAGAGAGATAAGAAAAATAAAAATATAAGGAAAGAGTTGGAACTAAATTTTAGAACAGTTGGAAGTAAATTCTTGATTTCACTTCTAAATACTTTCATGTTTCTACTAATTAGTTGTTCGTTGTTGAATAAATACTGGTTGATAGAGTTACAAAATAAAGATTTCATAGATGAAAAATGACTTCTTGTGCTGCATATTGTACTCTAGGTGATCAAAATATGCCCATAAAATACATGCTAATATATATATATATATATATATATATAGGTAAGAGATCAAATACAAACCGTGCTTAAAATACTAACCTACAAACTCAATAATATGCAACACTTTGAACTTCAATATACAGTACAAATAATGTAAAGATGCACACTGTGAATTTCAATATGCATTACAAATAATATGCAGCACTTTGAACTTTAATATGCAGTACAAATAATATGCAACACTTTGAACTTCAATATGCAGTACAAATAATGTGAATATGCACAATTTGGAACAGTTTGTAGGTTAGCATGGGAGGACTAGTTTGCATGTGATCTCACCCCTATATATATATATATATATATATATATATATATATATATATATATATATATATATATATATATATATATAGTTATGCATACAAGTTTAGGTATTTATCTCACACTCCTTTAAAGTTTGGGATATTTAAATTATTTTTCTTATTTTAATAATGTCATATTCTTGTCATTTTCACATAAAGGTGATACTACATAAGATGACATTTTTCGACGGTCGGAGGTGATAGTGCTAGGAGGGGGCAAATGTGACAATAGAGTCCTACAATATATTGCGTTAAATTTTCATTTCATTTTTTATTTACTACTCCCTCCGTCCCGCTAAGATTGTCCCATTTTACCTTTTCGGAAAATCCCACTAAGATTGTCTCATACCAAATTTGGTAAAGTTTGTGTGGTTCTAAATTATTCTAACTTTATTTTTACTTTATCAATTTAATATCAACCACACAACCCCACTTTTCTTAATAATCGTGCCACCTTCTCTTGTCCCAATCTTAGTGGGACGGAGGTAGTATATTTTTACATTTTTATTATACATATAAAAATATTACGGAGTATTATATTATTTATTTGTTTTTATTATATACTCCCTCCGTTCTTTATTAATAGTCCCACTAGCCTTGGGCACGGGTTTTAATAATAAAGTAGTAGGGTAAGTATAGAATGTGTAGGGTAAATGATAAAGTAGGAAAGAGGGTATATTTAAAAGAGTAAAGTGATGATAAAAGTATGAAGGAGAGCGTATTAAGTAGAGTAAAATGATGATAAAGTAGGAAAGAGAAAATAGTTTGTAAAAAGTAAGTGGGATAAAAGTAAAAAAAGTGGGGGTATTGTATCAAAAAAATTCCTTAAATGGAAAGGAGGACAAATAAAAAAACCGACCAAAATGGAATAAGAGACTATTAATAAAGTTTAATAAAGAATGGAGGGAGTATAAAAAATTATTTTTTATTAAAGTATGATAAAGCTAGAATAAAAAGTGAAGCATAAATAACTTCATTCTTTTAATTCTATCGAAATTGCATTGGGCATTTTTTTGTCTCGCATCGCGCGTTAAAATACTAGTAATAAAAGAGAAGTTAATTTTACACTTTAGCTCCGCATCCGTAGATCATTCCCACTTTTAGCCCCCCTACTTCCACTTTTCTCACTTTTAATGTCAGACAATTGATTTCCCAACATTTATTGTCCTTTCAGTCACATATCTGATGAAAATCACCCAGAAAGAAATTTCTCAGACAAAGTGGTATGGAAAGCCAAAAGTTGCAAGGCATCACCAAGAGTGGAAAATATGAAAGTGGTTGACCATATATGAATGACCTAAAAGAATGGGACAAAAAGTGGAAACTCTCTACAGAAGTGAGAAATCAAAGCAACAACTACATAAATTTTCAGAAGTTCGGTGCATTATATTACCCTGGTGGAGCAGTAGGCCATTGCAGTAATGCAGTTATAACACCTAAAGGAAACAAAAAATGATTACCATAAATATGAATATCAAAGGATCAGTTTTTAGAAGGTGTGTGGGCCAAACCTGAGCTCTGTTTGTATAGAGGAATAACAAGAGGAACCAATCCTTTCTTACTAACAGGAGAAACTAAGTGCTCGCCTGTTAATCAGGCATTACATTGGTGAGAATATTGGCAAAGTACATGAATGGTTGATCTAAAAGGCCCTAAGCAGTGTCCTATTGCATAACCGAATGAAAGAGCTAAGGTCTTGACCGCTGCCTCACCTCGCATTTGTAGCATGTTCAGCAGACCATTCAAGTTGTTTAGATGTTGAGTAGTCGTTACATCTTTGATGAAAGATGCATGATCTGCATTCCAGCTCAAAAAGAAATTAATTCAGCATCTACAGGTCACAAAAGCATTGTCACAACTAATGCAGAACCCAAATACATGGATTTTGTTATTTCTTTTCCCATAGAAGACCATACTTTCTTAATTTACTTAGAGAAACAATTCAGTGCACGAGTCAAGAAATTAGTGTGAGGTAAAAAGCAACTGACTGAGAGTAGTTATTTTTTTTAGATACTGCAGAGAAGGAAAATAGCAACACCTCAATCTTTTTACATTGATCATAAGTGCAAATTCAGGGGCTTTGGTTTTCATCGAGAGTTTCCTTATAAGGCCAATCCTTAAATGGATATGTGTATTATAATAAGTTTGAGGAGCAGGCTCTTGATTTCCGTGGAGTTCTTATCCCCAGGTTTGGGATTATGCAATGTTTAGACAGATCGCTCATAGTGTGGAGTAGTTTTGGTGTGCGGTGTGGCTCAAATCAGTGGTCTAGTTGAATGAAATATCATTAAAAATTGAAAGAATTATAATGAAATTAACAAAATTATATAGAGATACTGTCTGAAGACATACAGAATCATGCTGGATAAAATACGGAGTTTCAAACAATGTTTAAGATGTACATTGTAAATAAAATCGTCTCTTTTTACATTTTAAATCATTCAACTAAATCCATTCAGTGAAAACATCAAATAAGCACATCTATTTTGAAAAACAGCGCTTTTTATGCTCCTGAACTTCTAGAGCAGCTTAACAGGTCCTCTTTTGCCAAAAAGGTAAAGGCATTTATTTTGTAGAAAACTAAAGGCATTTGGTTTTCAGCTCTAAATGTAGAAAACTCATTGCCAGAAAACTAATTCCCAGAACAATGCATAGAATTGGGAGGAGCACACTGGAAAACCCAACATACACTTTTACACTAAACTTTTAAAAGTTCTTCAGGATATTCTTTTAACAAACACCTACTGTTTGGTTGCTGTTTTTTAAGCAATATATCATGAATTAGAATCTTTCCATTCTTTAGATTGTTCATAAGCATCATCAAAACAGGTGGTTCACAGTATTGTATCTTTTCACAATGCTTTCCTGTCAGTTTAGCATTGACAAAAAAATAATCTGGTCTTTTTTTATTTTAATGATATCATATTTGTTGTGCTTTAAAAGATTATGAGAGTATAAAAATAAAATTACAAATAGAGACTATGAATGTCAATCTGAAATTAAATTTATAACTAATGTCCTAATAGCAGTAAGAAGGATAAAATGCAAGGCAAATCCCTTGCTCCTATATATGACAAGGTTAATATAATCAAATTGAAAAGAGTGTGAATATGCTGCTAAAGGAAAATAGAAAAAAAAATCATGCACATATTATAACCTTTTAAGACAATACAAAGATGGGCGGATGGCAATCAAGATCTTATAAAAAATACTTTAGTTTAGACAAAACAGAAAAATGGTAATATTAAAAGGAATTTTTTGCAGAGATATGAATGGATTTTCAGATTTGTGAAGCCTTTAAAATTGAATAATAAAATTGTTTACCAATCAATATATTCCAAAATATAAACCTAAATGACCATCTTAGCAGGAGTGGAGCTGGGGGGGGGGTCAAATGGTCACCTTAGTTGTGTGTAGAAATAAAATTATCATGAACCTCTAAAGAAGAATGCCTTACTTTTACTGATTAGATTTGAATTTATAATAATAAAAACTCTAAGTACAACAAAACAGATTATTCACAAAACTGGGATTTTAGGGAAACAAAAACAACTAATAACACTTAATTTTATGGTAATTTTAATTCATGATTTCATATTGAAAAACTAATGTGATTTTTAAAACACTGATCAGGCCTATTAAAGTGTGCTAAAAAACATGTGAATAATTGGTTTTTGGTTGTTTGGTATTTTTTTATATTTTAAGTTACTAGGGATTTTAGAGAAACAAAAACAACTAATAACACTTAATTTTATGGTAATTTTAATTCATGATTTCATATTGAAAAACTAATGTGATTTTTAAAACACTGATCAGGCCTATTAAAGTGTGCTAAAAAATATGTGAATAATTGGTTTTTGGTTGTTTGGTATTTTTTTATATTTTAAGTTACTAGGGATTATTTGTGATATATCCTTTTATTTAATGATTTGGAGAAACAAAAACAACTAATAACACTTAATTTTATGGTAATTTTAATTCATGATTTCATATTGAAAAACTAATGTGATTTTTAAAACACTGATCAGGCCTATTAAAGTGTGCTAAAAAATATGTGAATAATTGGTTTTTGGTTGTTTGGTATTTTTTTATATTTTAAGTTACTAGGGATTATTTGTGATATATCCTTTTATTTAATGATTTGGATATGTAGCAACAAAATACAACTCAACACCCCCTTGTTGATTTTTCAATACTTTTATAAAAAAAAGCATTACTATTAAGACAAAGCTGAGCATTCTTTGGTTAGGCTGTAGTTTTTGAAACTTTCAAAAGTGTTGAAGTTTTTATTTTTTTATCGAAATAATTTCAGTAAAAATGAACTCATTGAACACAGAGAGATTTGTTTTATCTAGATTCTAGAGTGCTATTACAGTGATTTTTTTTGTTTCCCAAAAATTCTAGTTTTGTGACAATCTGTTCTTGTTCTACTAATTCCCAGAACAATGCCTAGAATTGGGAGAAGCACACTGAACAACCCAACATACACTTTCACAACTCTAAACTTTTAAAGGGGTGATTATTGCTGAATTAAGACAAAGAATGATGTTAGGAAATACTTAAACTACATGCAGCAACAAAGTAAGCCTTATGTGGCAAAAAATAGTTGCTCATCCAAAAGCACCCTACCTTGTAAGGAGACATGTATGACAAACTGATGAGATGCAAGAGATACTCCCATTAAAGAGACATGTATGGACAAATTGATGCAGTGACCTCTAGGAACTCTGGGTGGCACATTGGAATGATCACAGTCAAAATACACTGACAAATTGGATTCATCCAATGAAGGCATTACGATATATTATCTCAAACTCCCTTCTGCCCCTCAATAGTCAAGAAGCGTGCATGCGGCCTTAGCTTTTTTCTCCCCCCACCCAGTAGCTATGTCAACCCCACCCAGCAACAAGTTTTTTTATGCGTAGTAATTAGCTTGGAGGAAAAGTGTATAGTCAAGTGAACTCTTAGAGAAAGATTTGAATACTAAAATTCTTGAATTTTTGGAAGCTTTGTTACAAATGAGGGTCTCTACCAGTATTTAAACTTCTCTATTTCTACCACTATTTGTATTTCTCCACCTCATCAATTGACGGTGGTGATCATCTTGGTCCAACAGATACTGTGGTTCTCTAGAACATTGCATAAATATCTTACTAGTATTCTATAATATACAAAGTGTATCTGAAATATTTTAGAATTTATAAGGAGTATCCTAACCCTTATAAATTCTAGTCTACTCCACCTCATCAATTGACGGTGGTCATCATCTTTTCCCTATAATTCTAGTCTACTCTACCAAATCCTAGAGCCAGTTATGAGCAAGAAGTGGGGAAACCTCTACTTTATATCAAAGATGAAAAGTTATGACACTAACCTACAAAATGAATGTTGACCATACTGGTGAAGGCTGGGGAAAACGATGAGCTGCTGCTGGAGGAGCATCGAGGAGTAGGCAGCTTTTTGGCACAATGCTTCAACAAATTTCTGTGCTCTATTTTCATGGCTTGTTGTTCTGTTTCAATAGTAGGAGGGAGATCGTTGTGGTGAAGTATGTCCTTAACCATGGCCTCCCGAGCATTCCGGTTTGGGAGTTGGAGGCCGCCATAGGCCAATTCCAAGGCAGTGATTCCCACCAGCCAAATGTCAGCCGCGGGAGACGGCTGCTCATAATTACTCGTACTAGTGTTATGGGAGGCTACTAGTTCTGGTGCAGCAGCCCACTGAGAGATGGAAGGCATGGGTAACAAAGCAAAACCCAACTTGAGGAGAGAGTAGGTAGCTGGAGTGAAGAGGGACGGGGATATGAGATAAGCGTGGCCAGCGCTGATATCTGAGCACACACAGCCATACGTGCAGTCATGCATCGGGACTACGGCGAAGTAATTCTTAGCAGTATCATGAGAAGCGGTGACGGAAAGCGAATCCCGGATTCCCAACAAATTGGGGTGGTGGCCTTTGACGCCCTTACTTCTTCTGACTTCTTTCGATGGACTTTGGATTATCAGCAACCTTGACAGCTTGCAGCCTCTCCGACACCGATGTTTCATAGCTGCTTCCTGAATCCCACTCTGAGATTATGGTTTCAGCCACGGCTGCTTTGTACACCCTTATGCCGGGTTCGCGGCGGCGTGCCAATCGTGCCGGACGGTAGATGAGGGCGTGTGTGCTACCGCACCTACACAATACGGAGTATATAAAATCTTTTTTATTTGACTAAAGATTCCTATTTTCGTATTTTGTTTTTAAATACTAATATTTATATGTAATTAAAATGCAATTGTTAATTATAAATGTGCAACTTCTTTATTACATAAGATCTAGATAAGGCCTAGTTATAGTAATTAGCACAAATTGCTCGTACAGTTTGGACGAGATTGGTTTTAAGGGACAGAGGGAGTAGTTTTTCGGTAATATCATACTCTATATTTTTTAGTTCATGATTTTAATTCTTCTCTATTTTAATCAATGTTACATTTGATTGTCATCTTTTGGGTTGTTTTTTAAAGGCTTCTTTTATATTATATTTATTTAATATAAGGCCTAATTTACGTGATTTGCATCGGGTCTCATAATCTATCGAGCCGGCCCTGATGGCCACATAAGCGTTTATGCGCGTAAGCCCAGGTCGTGAAGTGCGAGACTCAAACAGCTTGAATTGATTATGAAGATCATCGGTGCCGCCTTGTCCCATACGTATGCGAGTTTCCACCCCCACCACACCACTGCGCCCGGCGGCGGCTGACCCCTGTCACGCCCCGTACCTACCGGACACGTCAACAACCCGCCGTACAGTACGAATAGTCAACCGCAGTTCAAATCATCCATACGATACTAGGCGTCTCGAATATCATTCACACATAGTACATCCATAAACAAACATCATGTAAAATATTCATTTAAGCAGCGGAAACATTAATACAAGTGTTCAAGCCACACTTCGCAAACATGGACATACAAGCCCCCAAATAATTATTCAGAAAATAATATCCATGAGCATTAATAGAAATGTTTTTAAAACGGGAACGGAAGAAGCACGAACCACGTCTTCTCCCCTTGATTCTCCCGAAGCAACGGGCGAGGGTAGCAACCTTCAAGTTCTACCTGAAACTGTGAGGTGGCCTCCCCCGTGAAGAGGAGGTCAGTACTTGGAAGCATTTGACAAGTACAATGACAACTATACTAAGTATAATCAATGTTTCAATTTCTAAGACCCTCAAATAGAGTGATATTATATTATAGGTCATAGCCCTTGGTCACCCTCTTTGAAAATATACTTACTTTATATATAAAGTTAAGTAGTCGGCCCGTAGGCCCATGTTTACTTTGAAAACGTCCAACCCTTTCCCCGTGGCCTCAAGCCACGCTCCTCTACATTACTTCGTCATGCTAGAGGCTTTCTCTAGTCATGTTCCATCGTGCTAGAGGCTTCCTCTAGTCACTCCACTCAGTGTTAAAGGTTTCCTCTAATCACCTTACATACGTTGTGCCGGAGGCTTCCTCTAGCCACCCTAGCTAGAGGCTTCCTCTAGTCATTCCACATTATGCTAGAGGTTTCCTCTAGTCATCCTACATTATGCTAGAGGCTTACTCTACTCACCCTACGTTATGCTAGAGGCTTCCTCTAGTCATTCCACATTATGCTAGAGGTTTCCTCTAGTCATCCTACATTATGCTAAAGGCTTACTATAGTCAGCCCACGTTATGCTAGAGGCTTCCTCTAGTCATTCCACATTATGCTAGAGGTTTCCTATAATCATTCTACATTATGCTATAGACTTACTCTAGTCAACCTACGTTATGCTAGAGGCTTCCTCTAGTCATTCCACATTATGCTAGAGGTTTCCTCTAGTCATCCTACATTATGCTAGAGGCTTACTCTAGTCACGCTAATAGATCACCAAGCAAATTTTATGCCTAGAGTTCCTTATTATGAGTAGCCTTGGTGGCCTACTCCTAACATAACCCAACGTTTACACATTTCTACCTTAAAGCATCCCATAAGACTACTTTAGGTTCATCCTACACAATCCAAGCCCTTAGGATTTGTTCTATCACTTTTCATACTAACATTCCGACTAGTATTTCAATACTAATCAATTAATTCAGGACGACCAAATCCCAAATGCGTAGTCATAAAGTTCATTCCAATTGATTTTCCAATCCAAATACAATTTAATCACAATAGCAATAATATCACTTTTATCCATTCATGAATTCTCTACATGAAGTAAAAGTATATTTTATCTCAATATTCATAGTTAATTTGGCTATCATGCCTTCATATTCATATCACTGATGGACAGTCTACCCGGGGGGTATCTTATCCGAGGGGTTATCGCAGGAATAACTAGAGAGAAGTCAGAGCAAAATAGGAGGAGAGAGAGTCGGTTTATTAAATGAACTCAGCGTGTGGAGTTGAGGTGTAGATGATGATTTACAAGGAGAAATGGGCTGCTATTTATAGCAGCAATAAATGCGATGAGAGGACACGTGTCAGTAATCCAACGGCCGAAGGGTCACATCAACCGGTTGGCACCTGCAGTGGTACGTTTACCGCATTGAATGCGGCTAGCGGATGTGACGTGGCCTTAAATGCGGTGGTTGGCTGTCTCCAAAAGGAATCTTCGATGATTGAGCGTGTCTGGCCGAAGGCTCCTGGTGTAGCCGAGGGCTCCATGCGACCAGGACCCCTGTGTAGCCGAAGGCCTCTTGTAGCCGAAGGCCTTATGTGACCGAGGGCTATGATGCCGAGGGCTTGACAGTGCCGAAGGCTCATGTTTTTTGCTGTTTTCTCCCAGTAGCTTTTTATGCCAGAGAAGGCTATTCTGTGAGCTTTGGAGCCTTCGGCCAAGGAGGCCGAAGGCACCCCAGCGCGTTTTCTGGGCTACTTTGAGGCTTGGGCCGTTGTATTTGGGTCTGAGTTGTTCCCCGAGCCCAATGGACTTATGTAGGAGAAGTAGGAGTCTATGGGCCGGGGGTTCCTGGGCCATATACTCCATCAATCACATAATCATACACAATTTATCTCATAAATATGTATATCATACTTCACTTACTTATACATCATTCTTTTCATATAGGCATTATTAATCATTTAATAATCCATGAAAAACTCATTTGATAATCTTAGGTAATCTTGTGAAATTAACCCAAAAATTATAAGCAATATAGTCAGTCATCATCGCCTTAAGATGTGCTACAATAGTTGCCTTTGCTAGACCCCTCGATCAATCCCCGTTCTAGGCCGATCGAAAGTGGAATTTCTGGGCAACAGATGAAAGCCGACCGGCTTTTGCAAAAGGTGGGCGGCTTTCGTGGTCTGCAGCTACGAACAGCTCTTTTCAAGTGGTGGTTTCCGACGATTTCGACTCCTATCGATTCCACAACTCTTCTAAGTTAAATATTACCACTTTATAACAATATTCTACACTTTTAAATGTGTAGAACTTCATGTTTAATCCATCATATGATTTCTTAAAAATCATACAAGAATAATACTAGTTAAAGAAAATAGGTAGAGTTCTTACCTTGAACTCAAGCTATTTCCTGTTGGATTCCTTCCCTCTTGCTTCCTCCAAGCTAGAACTTTGTGGAGAACCTTTTTTTTTTCAGAGCTTCTCTCTTGGATTTGGTCGTAAGATTGGAATGCTAGGATAGGGGAGGAGTATTGACGTGCACTTTGTCAGGGTGCGTCAAAATAAATTCAGTACTAGCAACTATACGTATTATAGGTGAAGTAGAGTTCGTATCCACAGGGAAAGGAATAATTATCTTTTTATGTAACTAGAGAATAAAAAGGTTTTTTTTTATTGAGTAATTTAATTAATTTAAACACGAAGATGAATGACTTATATGGGATTAAATTCAAGAATAAAAGGATTTTGGTCTTGCTACTTTCCACTTGTTGATATATTTTAGTCGATCATTGTTATATCTATAACTTATCCCCTCTCGAATACTCAATCGCGGAGTATCTCCAATTCATCGAGGGTAGTTATTAACAACGACCGTTCATTAATAACCCTTACTATTAATCAAATATAGAACAACGTCGTATACCGATATAATAGTAGCATTTAACCTCTTTAACTCCTTGATGAAATCAATTGAGATTGATAACCTCAACACAACGGTTTCGGTTTAACCAACAAAATTAATCCCTCTTAAGTTTATTAACCACGACCGTGCATTAATATACCGAAGTTACTTACTTGTAAAACCATCAACGATTAACCATCGGTTCGTTGATCGTTTCTAGTAATAATTAATGTTGGAACGTTAACTAATCGTCACTTAGCAACCCTCCAACATTAATATAGAATGAGATTAAAGGAAGAATTAATAATCAAGAGGAGAAAGTAAGAAAACAACTCGCAACTTTAATAATCAACAAGCTTCAAGAGCAAAACCAAGAAATGGAAGTTTAGCTCCTCATTTGGAGACTAAACATGCTATAAAAATATAAGAAATAAATATTCTAAACTGAGCTTAAGTATATGGAAGAAGAGATTAAATTGGTATCTAAAATAGGAAGGAAAGGGGTGTTTTTATAGGAGAAGTGAGGTGGTTGGGTGTAAGACATAATCTGATTTTCCCATGTTCACTTGCTTTATTTGATCTCTTATGATCTCCGGGTCAAATCATATCCGATTTTTCACATTTCGTTGTTCTCCATGAAGCTTCCTCTTGTCTCCAATGCTCCTTCTTTATGCTCCCAAGCTCCTTCCTCTTCTTTTCATCATGTTTTTGCTTACATATCAAAATATCTTAATATCTTCTAATTCTACTTTAATTTTAGAAGATAAAGATTACACCGTAATTGTACAAAAGCTAAGTAAACATAATGTAAAACCATTCTAAAATGTGGTGTTTATGCACGACTAAATAGTACACATCAAATACCCCCATGCTTAATCTTTTACTCGTCCTCGAGTAAAGTGCAATTTGATTAAGTTCAACGCTTAGGAGTGTCATGTTTCTTCTTACATTTAAAATTGGTTCTTTCTCCCAAGGTTTTATCTGTTCATGCTCCACCATGCTAAGCTTTTTGTGTCAGCCTCCTTTGAATATTTCGAGAAGCTCTTTAAAAACACCCGATCGAGTATGGCCTATACCTGATCCGGTATCTTGTTGTTTGAACTTACACACGAAATTTTCTCCTGCAAAAATCAAAATTTAATTCGCTTTCTCTCATTTTGCCTAGGAGTTCTTTTCGGGTTTTCATCCTAACTCCTCATTTTTTTTTTCATCTCACTAACAAATGGAGTTAAGTTGGGAATATGGATTTGGGGTGCAGTAGAGGATCAAAGTGTATGCCCGCTCTTTTCAATTTATTCAAGGTAAATGAAAAAACATAAAAGAAAATTAAAAACAAAATTACACAAACACACAGTTAAAAAGTGTAGCCTTTCCCCGGCAACGGCGCCAAATTTGACGTGCATTTTATCGTAGTGTGCCTCAATTTAAATTCACTACTAAGGGCTAATACCGTAGTATAGCGTAGTAGAGTTCGTATCCACAGGGAAATGAGCTTTTCGCGTATGTGTAAGCATAATAAATAAAAGTAAACGGAAGGGGGAATTAGATATTTTGATAATTGAGAAAGTAAATAAAATACTTAAATGAGTGAAATAAAATATCAAAGGTAATTAGTCTTGGTTTTGCTTTTATCCACTTAATGAAATGTTCGTCGATCCTGATTATATCTTTAACTGTCTTCCTCTCGAATACTCAATCGAGGAGTATATCCAGTTCATCGAGGGTAGTTATTAATAACGAGACACGTTCATTAATAAAACTTACTACCGAATTAATATAGAACACGCGCCGTATATTTACTCGATAGTAGCAATAAATTCAAGATGAAAACGATTGAAATTGATAACCTCAACACAAGCGGTTTATTGGTTTAATCAATATAATTAATTCCTATTAGATTATTAACCATGAGACGCATGCATTAATAATCCAAGTTTACTACCGTGAAATGATCGAACGACTAACAAGCGTATTCGTCGATCGATTCTAGTAATAATTAATATATGAGACAAAACTAGTTGATCCTTTAAGTAATGCTCAAAATATTAAAATGAAATATGAATAGGAATTAATTAATATTCAAGGAAGAATATTAAAGAAGATATAAATCCTACTATAACTAATGTCAAGATGTTAACTAATTGTCATTTTAGTAACACTCTCCAACATTAATATAGAGGAAGAAAATAAATACTACTCTAACTAATGTCGAGATGTTAACTAATTGTCTTCTTAGTAACACTCCCCAACATTAATATAGAGATAGTATTAAGGAAAAAATTAATATTCAAGGAAGAAGATTAAAGAAAATAACTCACAACTTACAATTCATTAAGCTTCAAAGTAGCAAAACCAAGATGGAAAGACTACCTAAATTACAAGAATGAAGTGTATATGAAAGAGGGGAATAAATTTGTATCTAAAATAGGAATTAAAGGGGTGTTTTTATAGGAGAAGTGAGGTGGTTGGGTGTAAGACATAATCTGATTTTCCCATGTTCACTTGCTTTATTTGATCTCTTATGATCTCCGGGTCAAATCATATCCGATTTTTCACATTTCTTTGTTCTCCATGAAGCTTCCTCTTGTCTCCAATGCTCCTTCCTTATGCTCCCAAGCTCCTTCCTCTTCTTTTCATCATGTTTTTGCTTACATATCAAAATATCTTAATATCTTCTAATTCTACTTTAATTTTAGAAGATAAAGATTACACCGTAATTGTACAAAAGCTAAGTAAACAATAATGTAAAACCATTCTAAAATGTGGTGTTTATGCACTACTAAATTGTACACATCAAAAGCTTTGTTTCACACAATGCTTACTGATGGAAGTCCAGTTGGACCTCACGTGCTCAAAATGATTGGGCATAGGGATCACCTGGAAAGGCTTGGATCTCCAATTAGTCAAGAGTTGGCTACTGATGTGATTCTCGTGTCACTCACTCCGGCATATGACCAATTCATCATGAACTATAATATGCATGGTCTTGAGAAGACCTTAACCGAATTGCATGGAATGCTCAACTCTGCTGAGCAAAACATCAAGAAAAATCGGAGTGACATTTTGATGGTAAAAAAGGGGAAGGGATTCAAGAAGCATGGTAATGGCAAGGTTGGTGGAAACAAGAAGTCCAAAAACCTGGTTAAGAACTCAGGTAAAGGCAAATCTGTTGCTAGCTCTACTTCTAAAGAAGAGCATAAATGTTTCCACTGCAACAAAACTGGTCATTGGAAGCGGAATTGCAAGGCGTATTTGGAGGAACTGAAAAAGAAGGGGCATGGTGATGCTTCCAATTCAGGTATCTATGTGATAGAAGTAAATGTTACTACCGCTACTTCATGGGTATTGGCTACCGGTTGTGGTTCTCACATTTGTTCAAATGTGCAGGGACTAACAAGGAGTAGAAGGCTGGCTAAAGGGGAAGTTGACCTACGAGTAGGCAACGGTGCAAAAGTTGCAGCATTAGCAATAAGGACATTTACTTTGAATTTGCCCACGGGCTTAGTTTTAGAACTTGATAATTGTTATCATGTACCTGCCATTAGCAGGAATATTATTTCTGTTTCTTGTTTGGACAAGAAAGGATTTCATTTTATAATAAAGAACAACATTTGTTCTATTTATTTTAATGAGATCTTTTATGGTAGTGCTAGTCTCATAAGTGGACTTTATCTTCTAAACCTTGTAATGCCCATCTATCACATAAATACAAAAAGGTTTAAATCTAACGACTCAAACCCAATATACATTTGGCATTGTAGACTAGGCCATATAAATGAGAAGCGCATTAAAAGACTCCATTCTAGTGTGTTAGAGATATTTCTATTGTAATTGTGATCAATGTTACTTTGCTAGTTTATAGTTAGCTAGAATAATTAATAGGCCTTTTAAGGCAATTTTGTAATAAAGGATTTATACCTTTTTAGGTATGGGCCTCCTAGGAAAAGGAGCCCAAATGATTGTAAAACCTACCTTTCCCGTCAGGCTATATATATATGCCTTAAGGGAAAGGCTAGGTTAAGCTTTTCAACATTCCCTGTGCCGCAGTGCCTATATCGGTGATAGAAGTTTTACGCTAACTTTCATATCATTCTGTAAACTTCTTCATCATTCAATGGAAAGCTTCATTCCCAGATCTACCTTCCATACATACATTTTATAGACTAGAAAACAGGGACCTAACATCTGGTATCAGAGCCGGAGCTGATCGATCGATTGAAGGCTGAAAAACACTCCTGCGCGATTCTTCATCGTTGAAGTTTCGCACTTGAGCGATTTTTGGTTCTATTTTTATTGTTGTTTTTGCAGGAAAATGGTTGAAGGAAAGTGTTTCTAGGCTTGAAGGAATCATTTCTGGAGAAAATCTCTATCTGAAGGTTGGCGTACAGATTAAACCAGATTTGAGCGATTCTGGATTTTCGCGCAACACCTCAGA